CCCCATGAAGAATGGTAGACCTGCAGGCTGCATACAAGAGTGATCTCGGCGACATCGTTGAGATCACTTGTACAAAACAAGCGGCGGCTCCCCCCGCTGTACATTTAGCCCTGCTTGCCCAAAGCAGGGCTAAATGTAGAAAACAAGTAGCCGCCCGGCACCCGGAACTACATGCCCCGGCCATCGGGAGATAGGAATTCCACGCCCCTGCTGCCCCAAGGCCGGGCCTTGGTTGGCCTTCTGGGAAATCCGGCCCTGAATATATTGCAGCTTACCAGCGTTCTTAGATGTGTTGGCTGCATTAGTTTTCTTTTTTTGGCTCTTTTTTTGAACGGGTGATCCTGCCAGTAACACACTTCCTGTCCTTGGGTGACAACGCATATTTGCATATGGAAGAGCAGGAGTTGTCACCGTAGGACTAGCAGCGAGCAGGCTTTCAACAGGTTTTAAGTAGAGCCAAAGACAGCTAAAGCCTGCTAGCAGCTTGTTTAAAAATGACAGTCAGCACTTCTATGAAGACCGGTGCGTGACATCTCCAAACCAGGACTGAAAATGTATGCATGGGGTCGATTCGCCCTATTTGTCCTTGTGGCCTTGGTTACCAAGACATAAAGCGATAAGAAATCCTAATTTTTACAGGTTGTCCCAGGAAGAGGAGTAGAGGGGGAATCTTGCAATGGGGGCACTTGTCCCGGTGACAACAGTCCTAAAGGTGATTTTTATTCACTTAGGAGATTCATTCTCACTTCCAGGACAAGTGAAAACTCCTCAATGGGACACAAGCAGAAAGAAAAAACAAGGGGGTATCAACCTTTGTATCTAAAACTAAAAGATTTAAAAAAATTGTCTAGATACACATTATGACTTATTGTCAAAACACCATCAGAAAATACACCAATGTTCCAAGAATCTATTGTACATTGTTACATAATAGAACCAGGACCTCCTACTGCTTCCTAAGGCTGGGTTCACACCTAGGCGTATTGAATATGCGCGTTTGTCACGCGTTTTACCGCGATTCGCGGTAAAAAAAACGCACGACAAACGCCCGTTTCCGAAGGGGCTACTTGGCTGTATCCCAATGGAAACGCGAGACCAAAACGCCCCAAAGAAGTACATGTACTTCTTTGGGCGTAGGCCGTTTTGTATCGCGTTCGGACGGGCGGAAATACGGCAAGGTGTGAACCAGACCCATTGAATACAATGGGATTTAGATGTTTGAGCGTTTTGTAGAGCGTTCGTCGAGCGTTGAACGCGCTACAAAACGTTCAGGTGTGAACCAGGCCTAAGATCCTGGATATTGTTGTGCACAGGGACAAGTTCCTCTGCGGTATCTGCCCGCGCTGAGTGACATCTCCATTCATCCGTAGAGATGAGTGAAAACTGAACTGCATGTCTTGTGGATGTGCATGCACGGAACAAGTGCATGCATGGAACATGCATGAAACAAGTGCGTATCAACACCGGGGTGTAAATCTACAACCCTGCAAACTCAGGGATGTAGATTAACCCCCGCAGTGTTGATACGCATTGAAAATCAGATTGCAGGCCTACTTTCCTCATTAAAGTGACATTAAACCCTCAGATTTCTTAACATAAACCAATACTGTAATGTGCGCCTTACTGTAATCCATGGTAGTTTCCCTTCTCTTTGCTGCTCTTCCTTTTAAATCCGTATCTCTTCTCATGCTTGGCCAGAACTTCCCTTTGCAGCTGAGTGCCTTTTCCTGTAGTGCTGGCTCAGGTTGCAAACGTACACACAGACACCATGTATCCATTCCAGAGACAAGGCAGTCTGCTGCAAAACAGAAGTTCTCCCCCAGCATGAGAACAGATACGGATTTAAAAGGAAGAGCAGCAAAGAGAAGGGAAACTACCATGGATTACAGGAAGGCGCACATTACAGTATTGGTTTATGTTAAAAAATCTGAGGGTTTAATGTCACTTTAAGAGGTTTTTAGGAGGCTACGAGAATTGGAGATCAGCACAAAACATGACCTGAGTTTTCAGAAATCCCCTACCATTCCATTCAGAGAGGAAGCGCCACTATATTTGAATACACAGGTAATAAAAAAATAAGACTTGCAATAAAAAAAAAGCAACAACAACGACGGTGTAAATGTATGACTGAGACAGGAACGACCTTTGCACCGTGTTGGAGGCACTCAGGAGTCCCCCAAAAATTAGATGAATGCGTAAAAAAGAACACAAATGTAAAAATATGCTTTAAAAGGACATGTAACACACCACATAAGCTTTTAGTTGGAGAAAATTGTACATAGTTCAATTATTTAGAAAGAAAATGGGGAAATGTATGATGTTAAATGTGTCTGTTTGTACCCAGAACTCCGAGCTCGTATCATAAGCCATCAGAGATAACCTACTATAGTATTCCAACAATATCTGCATTGGAAAGCTGGACATTCTGTCACCCGGGGCAAAGGCTCAGAGTTGTTCCCTCCCGAGGGAGAAGTTCTCCATCCACACACCCAGTAGCACCCCTCCTAAAGTGGCACCCGGGGGAACATTCCCCCCCCCCCCCCAGCCTCCCCTTCCCTAGCTTCAGCCCTGGACCCCAATGCCAATTCTGGTCCATCAGAAAGTGCCCCTTACCTCGGTTTCCCGTGCAGGGTAGTCATTGCACAATGCCAGCTCTGTCACACTCTCCAGCCTGTTAAACTAAATGACTCTTCCTTGTTAGCTCGAAGTTAGCAATCAAGAAATTTCGGTTAAATATTTACCCTTGCTGTAGGTTCTGACCCTTATCATCTACGTGTGACTGGAATCTCACACAATACCTGAAACCTGTGCCATTTATTTGGTTGCTTTTGTTTTCTTAGCTTTAGAGCCTCTTTATGTGATGTTTATCTCTCCGGTAGGTTTTATCTAGTCGTACCTGCTTGCAGTCACCTTTCCAAGGCTGGATCACCCTCATAGCATGCGGACTTTCTGCGTTTTGTTATTTCTACATGCTTTGGGGAAAAGAGGGTTTTACAATTAAGTTTGTAAGGAGATTTATTCTTTGAGGTGCTTCATGTTCCCTTTTGTTAGTTCGAGGATCTGCCACACAAGGTTGGGGGATCAGGAGGGGTAAGGAGCCAGGTCTGTGCCCAGTAGAAGAGAGCTGGAGACCTTCTTCATTGAATGCAATATTTAATATTTCTGACCTCCCCTCCCAAGTAAACAAGTAAAGGAACAAAATGCTTGGTTGGCAGACATAGGGCCTCCTATAACTGCCCAAGTTTAAAGTGGACACCTAAAGTGGACACCGTAAGTAGAGATCTGGATGGAGGGAGGTCTGTGGATGTGGTATATTTGGATTTCGCTAAACAACCTCAAATACTATGTAACTATGTAACCTCCAGTTCAGGCTTAATGATCCTTCTACAATTACCAACATTGCAGGAAGACTATCCTCTAGTACCGGTGTTACAGAAGAGACCCTCCTCCAATACCAATATTGCAGGAAGATTCTGTTCCAGTACCAACATTGAAGGGAGATCCTACTCCAATTCCCAAAATTACAGACTAGACACTTATCCAGATCCCAAAATTGTAGGGAGAACCTTATTCTACTCCAAGCTTTGCAGAGCAACCCTTTTTCTGATTCCCAACATTGGTGGAAGACCCTCCTCCAGTTCCCAACATTGAAGGGAAAACATTCTTGTACTCCCAGCTTCGCAGCAAGACCCTTCTCCAATTGCCAGCACTGAAGGGAACCCCTACTCCAACTCTTAAAATTGCATAGAGACCCTTCTCTAGTTCCCAACATTGCAAAGAAGACCCACCTTCAGTTCTCAACATTGCACGGAGACCCTCCTCCAATTTTACAAAATACTACAGAAGAGACCCTCTTCCAATTATCAACATTGCATGCATACCCTTCTCTAGTTCCCAATGATGCAAAGAAGATACACCTTCAATTTCAACATTGCAAGAAACCCAACTTCAATACTCAACGTTACAGAAGAGGCCCTCCTCCAACACCCAACATGACAGAGGAGACCCTCTTCCAAGTCCCAACAATGCAGAGAGAAAATCCTCAATCTCCCAACATTATAGGGAGACCCTCCACCAACTCACAGCTTTTAAGGGTTATACTCCACCAATTCCCAAGGCCTTTCTCAAATTGCAAACACTGTAGTGGAGACCTTCTTCTATTTTTGAACACTGCACCGAAGACACTTTTGCAATTCTTAAGATTGCAGGAGAGACCCATCTGCCCTTCCTCTAACTTCCAGCAGTGCAGGACGGACTCTCTTCCAATCCCTTCCTCAAATTCCTCATCATTTATCTTCAGATCCTGTTTTAGTTTCCAGCTTTGCGCTCTCTGGAGACCCTCCTTCCACTTCCACTCAATGCAGAGTAGACAAAATTGATTTTATGAACTGACAGAAGGGAATTCCAAGAGAGATATGTAAATCAGCTCAGTAATCCTGCTCCAATGTGGAAACAATCGGGAATGTCATCACACGTAAACACCTATTCCTATCTCCTCTGGTAAAGTGCGCTCTCCTTATCACACTTCTCAACATCTCTGAGTCAGCAAACTTTCTTGTTGTTATAACAGCTGATTATTTGTTTATTTTTTACTCTGGTTGAAGATAAGATCAGTAAATCCACCATGAAGGGTCTCATGTTCAGAAACTGTAAGGAAGTAGGTTCATGATGTGCAATCAGCCTCAATAAGCGGCGGCAGGTGTGTCTGCTCAATTCAGAATTCGATATGTCCCATCACACTCCTGACCGGAAAAATCCCCAACGTACAGGCGGGTGCAGCAGTGACAGCAGATGCCTCCGCGAATCCCATAAGCAGTGGCGTCACAAGGGGGATGCGGCCCGCACCTGGGTGCCACCATTGGAGGGGTGACACCAAAATGACTGACAGTCATTTTGGTGTCACTCCTTATGAAATGTCAGGCACTCGGTCACGGACCGAGAGCCCGACAGTGTCAGGAGAGAGGAGGGGACCCAGCAACATACCTTATCCCGCTGGGCGACTGTCCCCTCCTCTCTCTGCCGGCGTCCATCACCAAGATGACCGCTGGCAGGCGTGAAAAAGGCCACCGCGCACGCGCGATGATGTGATGAAGTCAAGGCGGGGTGTCACCCGGTCCCTGCCCCCGAGTGACACCCAGCCTCGGGACGCCACTGCCCATAAGACTATCAAAAAGTCACTCGCACTCGAACGTGATGCCCAGTCAATCCCTTTATCGACTAAGGTGGTATAACATCTCCATGCAACGTTTCGGAACCCAGTGGTCCCTTCATCAGGCAACCAGTAAATATACTTTTGCAAATTCATGTACAAATTTACTGTTTGCCTGATGAAGGGACCACTGGGTTCCGAAACGTTGCATGGAGATGTTATAACACCTTAGTCAATAAAGGGATTGACTGGGCATCATGTTGGAGTGCGAGGTGTGCCTGCTGCCCCCTTTCCTGCCAGAGCATCTCAGGTTGCTGCCAGTACTGCCAGCACCTCTTCCCCGGTCTCATCATGCACCATCACCCCCTCAAACCCCCAGTCTGAAGCGGCGGGGGTCTAGGAACACACATTGCATCTCTATTCAATGCAGGCATATCATAGCCAGTGGGAAGGGCCGGCAGGGTGCTGTACATAGCTTCCTCGAAACATTATCCAACCCACCATTGGTTGCTAAGACACAGAAGGAGGTCAGATGGTGGGCGACCTGGCCAAATCATTGGCCCCTTTGAAGCACAGAGAACAGCTTGGCTGTGGGTCAACTGTGAGTCCAACCCCAAGTCAAAATGTTTGCAGCTTTTCAAAGGAGCCAATGATTCTGACCTCCCTTTGTGTCTTAGTAACCAATGGCATGGTCCAACCAGAAGCACGGTCCAACCTGAAGCTCATCTACCCTACCTTCGAGTGTCAGTTTTGTCATTTACTTGGAGTCCTCTATGAAGACGTTAAAAAACATGTTCTCCAACCTGACAAACGCTGCTCTAAAATGGGGCATTGGGCTAAGGTTTCCGTCATTTTTTTTTTTTTTCTTGAAAGGCAGAAGACGAAATAATAAAATGAAAAAAAAAAATCCCTCTACCGGTTTTATTACTCTTGGCAGCTCTTAATTTTCCTACCTTGGGAAAGTGAGCGCTTACAAATGAAATTAGCATCGGGAAGGGCAGCTCAGTATGAGAATTTTTCCATTAATTTTAAGCTGTTCAAGTTGGTTCTCCGTCCTCCGATCAGGTAATTGTCAGAGGTCCAGATTGTCTCCGCCATGCTATGTTTTGTCTATGCCGGTGAAATCACACTTGGTTTTCCTCTTCTCTTCGCTCAGTCGACCTGTCTGTCTTCTGAAACGCTGGAATGCGATGGAGGAATAAGAGGCCTGATTTCATTGTGGTAGACCGAGTCTTCCTGTTACAGGCAAGGCGCAAATGTGATATCCTTGTGCCAGGACCAAGGAACATAAGGCACGCCGAGGGCGGCTGAGAGACTTTCCATTCTGGGTGCCCGCTGACCTTATCCTGACACTTCTGCTCCGCGCCCTTATAGAAAGCGCTGCCGATTCATGGAGGAGAAAATTGGCATGGAAGGTAACAGGGAACTGAACAGGAAAAAAAGAGGGGCTCCGCATTCTGCAGTAGAATCAAAGTAGATGTAAGTCTTATGGGTCTATTTATAAAATGTGAAGACTCGTTCTGTGCAAAAAAACAACATTCTCAGATATACTCTAATCAGCCCTAACATTATGACCACCCCCCTTATATTGAGAAGGTCCCCCTTTTCCTGACACGCCGAGGCATAGACACCACTAGACCTCTGAAGGTGTGTTGTGGTATCTGGATGACCCCCCTAATATTGAGTAGGTCCCCCTTTTCTTGACCCATCCAGGCATTAACTCCACTAGACCTTTGAAGGTACATTGTGGTGTCTGGATGACCCCCTGTCTAATATTGAGTAGGGCCCCCTTTCCCCGACCCGTCCAGGCATGGACTCCACTAGACCTCTGAAGGTATGCTGTGGTATCTGGATGACCCCCCTAATATTGAGTAGGTCCCCCTTTCCCCCGACCCATCCAGGCATGGACTCCACTAGACTTCTGAAGATACGTTGTGTTGTCTGGATGACCCCCCTAATATTGAGTAGGTGCCCCTTCTCCTGACCCACCCAGGCATGGACTCCACTAGACCTCTGATGGTGTGCTCTGGTATCTGGCACCAAGCCGTCAGTAGCAGATCCTTTAAGTCCTGTAAGTTGTGAGGGGATCGGCCTCCATGGATGGGACTTGTTCTTCCAGCACATCGCACAGATGATCGATTGGATTGAGATCGGGAGAATTTGGAGGCCAAGTCATCACCTCAAACTCCTTGTTGTGTTCCTCAAACCATTCTTCAACCGTTTTGCAGTGTGGCCGGGCGCATTATCCTGCTGAAAGAGGCCACTGCCATCAGGGAGTACCGTTTCCATGAAGGGGGGGACTTGATCAGTAACAATGTTTAGGTCGGTGGTCTGTGTCAGAGTGACATCCACATGAATGGAGGACCCGAGGTTTCCCAGCAGAACATTGCCCAAAGCATCATACTGCCTCCGCCGGCTTGTCTTCTTCCCATAGTACATAGTTGAAGCTGTTATAGCTTCAAAGGGCAGAGCCAACCCAATACTGAACTCTACGGACTAAGACTGGGATGCCATTAAAGTTCATGTGCGTGTAAAGGCCGGCGCCCCAATACTTTTGGTAATATAGTGTATATCCAATCAGATAGGTCCTTGCACTCCATACTTGTTGGTAAAGTG